TTGTGTGTTTTGTTTCTCGTGTGAGGCGAAGACCTCCAGATTCCACGGCAGTAATTCAGGCGAGGAGGTTCGCCGCCTCCCCGGAGATCGTACGATATCCGCGGATCAATCGGACCCTCTGAGATGTGAGCAGGGCCCGAGCGGGCTGCCGCATGAAATTCGTCACCCATACAGGGGCATCGTAGAGAGCCATGAACCACACGACATTCACGTACAACTTTTGGCAGGGGGCATTTGGCTCCCTGAGGTTCAGTAGGAGGCGCTTAAGCGTAGCCCCTGTCCGTTCCAATTTAGGAGCCAAACGTCGGAAGTGCTCCACGAAGTCTCATCGACTGTCGAAGACGACGAGTCACAGGTACTTCATCGTCATCTCGACGCCGATGGTAAATCCTCCCGCCGGTATTTGGGACTTAACCGGAGGTGACGCGTGCCCGCAACCATGGAAACACGTGGCCTCGGACTTGTGGAGCGCCACCTCGAGTCCCAGTAGACGGATCCTTTCAACGTCTGTCGTAACCACTATCGCCGTAATATTAGCCGCCGCCTGATGCGACCTCCCGTGCGCCAGTGAGCCAGGACCACGCCGCTTGGGAGGTCGGTGCGCAGCACCCAATCAATGTTCCACAGGAGCGGTCCTAAAACCGAACCCTGTGGAACACCGCACGACATCTCTCGCCGGTGTGGTATTTGAAACGAACGTAAATGGAGTGGGGTCAGAACAAGAGGGCTTACTTAGTTTTAAAAGGAATGAGTAAATGAAATAGTTAATAAATACCGGGTAAGAAGAAACTGCACTAAAGTGTGCTCACGTTGTTGTTTATAATTGAAATACTAAGAAATTTTGCAATACAGCGCTTTCAAGCACAAGGGACCGTATTAGAAACTTCTAACATTCACACAACAATGTTACTCTTTTATATTATGCATACTTCTTTACTAATAACACTCGCACAAGTAAGTGCGCTAACAAAAATTCAAGCAACCACAACTTAGTTCAGACTGAACACCAAAAGCTCATGTAAACAATAATTTCTCGCGATCGGCTCATCCAAGATATGTATAGACCAATCCTCTTTGGATTATAAAGAAGTGTATCTATAGACCTAAACCAAAGTCTTGAGAAGTTCAACTTTAGAACAACACAAACACTAAAACGAAACATACAGTTACGTTCGGAAGCCGATCAAATAAGACAAAAAATAAGTGTTATCTAAAAGTTGGACTTACTTGTGGCACTCCTTCACTATTGTAACATGAAGCTAGTTGTTTAGAACCAATGCGGGGTGTGTGGTAGTAATCCTGTGCGGTTACGAACAATATTATGGATGTAAATGTGGTAAATAGCGATGCGGCCGGCGCCATCTTTGGGCGGCGCGACGTGAACTCGCGCGCTTCGAGTAAGCACTGAGTGACGCGCGGTGGTTTCACAACACTCGGCCAAAGACTAAGCGGTTGCGTTCCTTGACATCGGTTTGGCTCTGTGAGGAAAGCGTCCTTAAGTTCAAATTTAATTCTTCAAATATGTTTTTTTTTTGTTAGTGTCACTGTTTTTAGCATTATAGTCGGTGATTTCTTTTGCGTGCTTTTTTTTATTTTTAGCTATGATTTTTAACGCTTAGCTATGAATTGTTTTAGTTACATTAATTTTGTAAAAAATCTCATCAAAATCGGTCCAGCCATTTCAGAACAAACAGATATATATAGACAAGAATTGTAAAAAATGTTATTTCACCAGTGAACTCATCTAGTCTACCTTTTAGAATTGTTATTTTGTCAAACTTTATATTCAGTTATTAATTTTTATGTATTAAAACTTGACCTGATTATTAGGTCAGCGGTTCCATAAAATCACTTGGAGTGCAATAATACAGCAGCAATATAACAGATTACAAGTTATTGACAATTACAAAGTCCTTTTATGTAAAGCAAAAGTTATTCAAAAGCAAACATACAAATTTAAAACCAAAAGTATGAACTCCAGTCTACACCCTGCTTAATATATGGTTGGAGAGCGCAGCGTGTTGAATGTGAAAAAGAAAGACAAAATAAGAAAGAGTATAAGGAAACTAACAAAAGCAACAAACGCTTTAACTTATGCTCAAAAACTTAAGTGTATATGGGCAGGACATGTGGCGGAACTAACAGATCTGAGATGGACCATGAAAGTAACAACCTGGAACGGCCCACTAGGCAAGCGAAATATATTAAGACCCGCGACACGTTGGCAAGACGAAATTAAGAAAATAGCGGACCCTCAGTGGACTACAGTAGCACAGAATACAGAAAAGTGGAATGCTTTGGAGGAGGAGGCCTTCACCCAATAGGGGTTCTTACAGGATGCAAACTAACCAACACTAACAGTAAAATTACCTTTAAAAATTTAATTAACACTAACAATACTAACAGCAAGAATAAAATGTAAAATTTGCTGTAAGAAATAAATGGCTTTTTATTTTATTATTATAATTGTTTTTATTTATTTATGTGATGCAATTAGTTGAAGCAGTTAAGAATTTTTTATACAAGAATCAAACGTACAGATTTACTTGTTTACTCGTTTTTGCCTCTTCTCGGATGGAGAAGGTTTGAGCATTAATCACCACGCTTGCTTAATGCGGTTTGGCGATTTCAAACTTATAATTAGAACATCATTCAACATTCTACAGTTGGTTCTATGGTTCAGAATATGTTAGGCGCAGTTATGATTCTTCTAGCTTGCTCAAATAACTAAAACTAATTTATAATAATAAGGAATGGAAATTAGTTCGTCGTTGTGGCTAGAAATTTTGATGATGAGCTTGCTATTCTATCAAGTGATTGTTATGTTTTAGTAGTAGACAATACATATTGCCATCTGCCTTATGGACGCAACAATGATGTTCCGTTATCCAGTGCAACGAGTACAATCTGGTACCTTGTTGTATAAGTCTCAAATCTAAATCAACTTTGTCTACACTTTCGAAGAACATGAAGTGTATGTTATTTGATACTAAATATAATATCTCAAGACGTTCCCAAAGGATAATTTTGCAAGATAAACAAATAATTTAGCTTGCGTTGATGTAGGTTGTCTTCTATTGTGCAAGACTGTAACGATGTGGGAATGACCTCTCATTGCCGACCGTAGTGCGAGCTATGGTTGGCAACGAGAGTGCATGGTATGTAGTGGTTTCCTGTAAATGTGGTATGTTGGCAAAGGAGGCGGCTGAAAGGGAGAGGGAGGCGTCCAGCTCTCTCCCTTTCCCAGCGTCTACGGCGACGCTCCGGCCGTCAACGCTGCGAGGTGGTCGCTAATCTGCGACCTCGATAGGAGAGACCTGCGGGCGACTGATTAGGGGAGTCAATCGTCCGCTGTATGCGCGGGACTAGGCGTTAGCGTTGTGTTTCACGTGCGCCACTCGAAAAAGGAAATCGCAGCTTCTAAGGGCTGCTGCAAGGTGAGACCTGCTGCAATATAGCGGTATGTCGACGCCTGCCGGGTGCGGTGAATCTACAAGGGTGTCCCGGGTCACGGCCAAAAGAAGAGGAGGAACACCGCGGTGGTTTGAGCCGGTAAGAGTCCGTTACGTCCGAACACCCCCTTGTCCCCACGGCGTAGGAAGTCCATGAGGATTTCCATCGCGCTATTTATAAACTACGCGGTTGCTTTTGCTGTTTCAGGAGTACCAGAGTGGTTTATGTTCAAGAAATCTAACAAATTCATTAAAATCGATCCGAGCTGAAATTGAGAAACGGCAGAAAAAAACAAGAATTCAAGCTTGAATTAAACAACATCTTCGTCAAATATCATAGCTTTGAAGTTATCTTCAAGAGCAGGGACTCGTTCAATTCGTGACTAAGTAGCACCTACAACTTACACCCTACTAAGGGTAGCGTTAATTTTATTTATAATGACACAATTTACATGTAGACATTCATATACATGACGGATGCGATAAGCTTGTTCCGTTTGCACAGATAACGGTACATTAGGCACAGAGCTAACGAACTCATTACTATACTGTACCGCCCGACTCCGTCTGATAACCTTCGATCTCCAAAAATGTACTAGCTAGCAACTGTAGGGGTTATTTTAATGACTTATCTATGCTTATAATATATTCATTCATGATATTGTCTCGCTTTATCGACGTTTTTGTTGAAGGGATGGACACTTCGGCGTTGTCGTTTAGATTGTCTGATACTCCTCAAAACCGGTTGCTCTCTTCTGAGAATTTAATCAATGGCTTTCGCAGACCTTTACCAATGTTCTCGTTTACCCTTTTACGATGTTCTTAAATGTATGTCAATAATTGTGTTATCTTGCTTTCAGAGTATCGTAATGGTACTAAATACATATCAGTGGTCGCTCGCAGCATCCAAGAGTATGTTGATAACCAACCGCTGTGTAGTAAGAGTGTTATCACCCTTGAGCCATACGAATGACGTACGTAATAAAAAGGGTCTATTTGAACCGAACATGAATGGAGAGGGGTCAGAACAAGACGGCTTACTTAGTTTTAAAAAGAATAAGTAAATGAAATAGTTAATAAGTACTGGGTAAGAAGACACTGCACTAAAGCGTTGCTTACGTTGTTGTTTATAATTAAATATAAAGAACTTCTAATATAACTTCAAGCACAAGGGACCGTGTTTAAAACTTCTAACATTCACACAACAATGTTACTGTTTTCTATTATGCATACTTCTTTAGTAATATCACTCGCTCAAAGTACCTAACAAGTAAGTACACTAACAAAAGTTTCTCTCAAGCAACCACAACTAAGTTCAGACTGAACATCAAAAGCTCGTGTAAACAATAACTTCTCGCGATCGTCTCAGCCAAGATATGTATAGACCAATCCTCTTTGAATTATAAAGAAGTGTATCTATAGACCTAAACCAAATTCTTGAGAAGTTCAACTTTAGAACAACACAAACACTAAAACGAAACGTACAGTTATGTTCGGGAGCCGATCAAATAAGACAAAAAATAAGTGTTATCTAAAAGTTGGACTTACTTGTGGCACTCCTTCACTATTGTAACATGAAGCTAGTTGTTTAGAACCAATGCGGGGTGTGTGGTAGTAATCCTGTGCGGTTACTGACAGTATTATGGATATAAATGTGGTAAATAGCGTTGCAGCCGGCGCCATCTTAGCGCGACGCGACGTGAGCTCGCGCGCTTCGAGCAAGCACTGAGTGACGCGCGGTGGTTTCACAACACTCGGCCGAAGACTAAGCGGTCGCGTTCCTTGACATCGGTTTGCCTCTGTGAGGAAAGCGTCCTTAAGTTCAATTTTAATTCTTCATACATGTTTATTTTCTGTTAGTGTAACAGTAGTTTTAGCGTTATTGTCGGGGATTTCTGTTGTGTGTTTTTTTTTAATTTTTGGCTATGATTGTTAAGCCTCGCAATGAGTTGTTTTAGTTACTTTAATTTGGTATTAAAGTCTCGTTAAAATCGGTCCAGTCATTTCAGACATTAATCAGAACAAATAAATAGACAAGAATTGTAAAAAATGTTATTTCGGTGTATGTATCGTTTCGGTGTATGATATATTCATATACATGTAGTAAAAAGCAGTTATTTTAATATTAAAAACAGCCACTCCAATTTTATTTAGAGTCATAGATAATTATTACATAGCATTTAACTTTTATACGTATTTTAGAATATGTAAGTACAACATTGTCATTAGAATGAATAATGAATTTTTTGGTACATCACATAAAACATACGCAATAACTATGGCAGTATGAAACTAAGACAGTTCATTCCTTAACGCATTTTCATTGGTCTGAGTTTAGCATAACTTAACCTACAGGCCGACAGGTACCTTGTCTACTAAATCCCTATTCTTTGCGTCCCACCAGTCGTAGAGAGCGTGGCCTCATACCGTCGATTTTTTTGTGAGCAAACCTGAAAAGGTTCGCCTTTTGTTTTTTGTTAGAATGCCAACATGTGCGGTCAGTTGGGGAAGGAATCAGCGAACCGTGCAAAGGTCCCGATGTTCCCAATTTTAAGTTTACTGCATAGCTGTTGTCCTTGCAAGCTTTTGTCATCTCCATTGACCCTAAATGACGATTTTTTGTGAATATTCAATATAATTGTTTCCGCATAGAAACTATTTATTAAGAATGTTGCTTAAACTAAGTACTTATTTGTAAGAGATAAAAGAACTCATCTAGTCTATCTATTAGAATTGTTATTTTGTCAAACTTTATATTCAGTTATTAATTTTTATGTATTAAAACTTGACCTAATAATTAGGTCAGCGGTCCCATAAAATCACTTGGAGTGCAATAATGTACCAGCAATATAACAGATTACAAGCTATTGACAATTACAAAGTATTTTTATATAAAGGAAGTTATTGAAGCAGTAAAGAATTTTTAAAAAAAGAATGATAATAATATGTACAGATTTGCTTGTTTACTCGTTTTTGAGAAGATTTTCATCATCATCAACAGCCAATAAGTGGCCACTACCAGCTAAAGGCATCTTCTCGCACTGAGAAGGTTTGAGTATTAATCACCACGCTTGCTCAATGCATTGACGATTTCAACCTTATAATTAGAAATTATAAGCCCAGGTGAGTCTTCTTCTCCCGAGCGTAAGGCGCGTCGTGTTCCGCGCGCGCCTCAAGGTGCCATCAGACCACCACAGACGGGGCCTAACAGGGCTGATGCCGATACGGAGCCGCGGAAGACTTAACGGGTTGCCGTGGCTCCGGCTCGAAGTGCAGGAGTAGGAACGGGGTGGTTTTTAGTCAGTAAGAGTCTGACACTCCCTCCCGCCTCACCCGCTCCCACCCGGAGAAGTAATTGGATGCTATTCCGCTCAAAAAAAAAGTCTCTTCTTCTAAATAATCTTCGAAAGGACTAATAACGAAACTAAAAGTCACATTGGTACTTATTTGCCGTTGGTAGATTTTGAACCCGCACTCTCATGCACGCGAAATGGTCGTCTTAAACCTCCGGGCCACCATTAACTTTAGATTGTGTTAAATTTAGATTTCAAATCTTATTGTTAGCTCTTTAAGGATGGTTATTAAACTATATAGGGCATAATTAACTAACTATAAATATTACGGAAGGAGAGAAAAGGGCTAAATCGAAACCATTACGCAAATCAGTGCTTACAGCGTGTTCGTGTATTAAATCATGTTATTAAACCTATAAATAACTACAGATGACGCACTGCGTTTAATATCGAATGCTGTATCATTTCCCTTCAGTAACCTTCCGATCATCATTGATCGTAAAAAAATTAATAAACATTGTCTTTAGTTTTCAACAATATTTTTTTTTAAATAAATTACTTTTTACTACCTACCTGTTATTCTTTGAATTTCATTAAGCTTTTGTCCCTCGATTTGTGAAGGTTCATAGTCTTTTAAAGTGTCCGTCTATAAATAACGATCCTATAAAACTAAGATTTCAGATTTCACCTACCAAATTAACTAGTACACACTTAAGTGTCTATTATTCTGTGAACTATATCAAATAGCAAAATTGTTCATTGCTCAGAAAATAAAGTGAGAAATATAAAACAAAGATACTGCATAAAGCTTTAACTGTTGAAGTGTCATATCCTATAATAATTACTTAATCTGTGTCACCGTTTCCCTAGTCTGTCTATTTCGTTTTAAACACATGAATAGTCTTCGCTGCTTAAGAGTACCAGTGCATTAGGTCATTCATATCTTCGTCCTCTTCTCACATACAGCTACGTCTCTGTCGCACAAAGGCTTACTGCTTGATCCGAACCAAATGTTTAGCGTAAGCAAAAAAAATGTTGAATTCAAATTAATGACGATAAAGGATGATTGTTTTTAGTCCGACTGTAATTGCAATCTTTTTATTGGTCAGTAATTAAATCAATTTGTCTTTTTATTTTTTTAAGGTTTTTTGATAATAAGGTTGTAATTCAAATGTTTTATCCGGATTAAGTATTTTTGCTTAGTTTTTTTAAAGCTTCTATAGTACTGACTGTATTTCATTGTTTCTTTTCTTTTCTTTTTTTTTAATTTATCACCAACCACATTCTTCCTTCACAGCAGTGGTCTGATAAACTTGGAAGCTGCAAACTACAATTTAACTGGCCTAACCCACCTACCAAGTCTGGGGATTACGGCCAACTCATTTTATCTTAAGGAGGTTCTTAGCCCGACAGTGGACTGTCACAATCTGTTGATGTAAGTATCATAATGTACTGAGAATGGCAGTAAGAGACTTACGAACAGACGAAAATACTCCAAAGTATCTGTTATTAGTTTAGTACAAAAGCTATTCATGCACGGTTGTCATAGCATAATGTTTTATAGCCTATAGCCTTCCTAGATAAATGCACTATCCAACACAAAAAGAATTATTCAGTTCGATTCATCAGTACCGGAGATTACTGTGTTCAAACAGACTTCAACTTTGTGTACTAAAGTAGTTAGTATTATTATTTGAAAACTTTATGTTTTTGTAAATATTTTGACAGAAATCGGTTGTTAAATTCGATCGTTAATCGTTATTCCTACATCTACTTCAATTCAAATCGTTATAAAACAAGATCACTTCGTTCGGCATACATTTTGTGCATTTTATCTTTTTCTAAACAGATATTAGTGACCTCTAGTGACCTTTAGGTTCATGTACTACAAAACTATTTGATAATTTCTGTGACGTAAAAGTAACACGGTTGTCTATTATTATTAATGTGGAATAAAAATTGTATCTATTATTATTATTTGAATGACAGATTTTTTCGAGAAAAGAATAGAAAAAAAATGTGCATGGAGTGTAAGGAGAACGCTTCCAAGAAACAAAGAAAGGTGATAGAGAAAACAAGTTTTGTTTTAAAAAAAAGTAAGTAATACAATATTATGTGTTATGTAATAATATTGTATTTAACTGCTCCATGCTAATGTTGCCTAGATAACACGAAACAAAGACGATTAAAATTGTAAAAACCAACATTTTTGTCTGCATTTTCCGAAGCGTTTCGTTTCCATCCTGAATTCTTACCTATTCAGGATGTCAGACCTACTTAGAGTTTTTAGATTAAGTACACTTCTGCTTACCCTTTCATGGAATAAAAGACGTAATGTTATAGTATACGTGAGAAAGTTACAAGTCCTTTCAAAAGTTCTTATTACAGCAGGTAGGTACTTTCTACAAACGAATCTGTACACATAGAAGCTCTGCCGACAAAGAGAACTGAATGACAATATTTGGCTACGCTGCAGTTAACGTTAACAGAGACATATACCTTCTTTCTAACATAGCCGGTAAACGAGCAGACGGATCACCTGATGGTAAGCGATCGGCGTCGCCCATGGATACCTGGAACACCAAAGGCATTACAAGTGCGTTACTGGCCTTTTGGGGATTAGGAGTTTGAGGATCATTGGAGATTCAGGAATTGAGGAGATTGGGGAAGGGGAGGGTAATTGGGCCTCCGGTAACCTCACTCACATGACGAAACGCAACGCAAGCGTTGCTTCACGTCAGTTTTCTGTGAGGCTAAGAAAAAAAAATATTATGAACTAAGAAAAAGATACAATACTTAAAACACCAAAACAGAATTTGAAGGTCTTTCAAACGTGCTTAAATGTATTGTAACCTATGACAATGACGCCAAGCAGATGTCGACCACATGTGATTCTGTTATTGCACTAGACAAATTATTGTTCACATGCTGTTCTTCTTAAACTGTATTTTTGGTGTATTTTAGTCAGAAAACGTTACTTTTATTTATTCATATGACATCATTTCTTTTGTCCATCATCAGTATGTATCTCTGTAAATGTTGATGACTGAGTAATTGTAGTGATTAAGTGATTACCCGACAGTGTACAGTTGATACAATTGTAAAGTTTTTTGGAAATTATGCCTTGTGGTTATAGCAAAATAGAACCCATTTTTAAACTCTTTCTCTCTGATCGTTAATAGATAACTACTTGTAAGTGACAAACAAGGCTTCGTTGCTCTGATCCACCTACCCAGGGCCGTCTTATACTACTCTTTTTTTTTAAGGGGGGAAAATCATCGAATGACTGCTCCTGGGTGAGGTGGCAGGGAATGTCAGACTCTAACTGACTAAAAACCTCCTAGTCCTAGTTCCTACTCCTGCACTTCGAGCCGGAGCCCCGGTAACTCT